TACTTATGGTTTCTGAAGTTCAAATATAAAAAACCAAATATTATTACTCCAGAATTATTATTCTAGGTTCCAATTATTGTTTGGGGAGGAGGGGGATTTATTTACATACAATTCCCCCATTGATAATTATATTAGGATGTAGCCTATTTAAGTTAATACAAATAAAATTAAAAGTATGCTGGTCATATAAAAGAATGAAACTGACACAATAAGTTAAGATAGGCAAGTCATATAGTATGTTGGAAACAGAGCATATTTTAAGGGATTTCCACTGGGCAACAGAGGCGCCGGACTTACCGGGTGGTACGGTATGTGATACCGGGGCCGGGTCGGAGGGTTCCCCCGGAAATTTTTGCATAACTTGAATTAAAGTGAAAAGAACACATATTTCTACGCATCTTCTAATGAATTTTTCGATTATACTTATTCGCTTGTAAATAGTCCATATAATCTCACTTAATTATGTACCGGTATCCTAGAATGTCATAACAGGCCAAGGCTCCCTTCACAACCTCTTGGGCCAAAATCATAGCTCAATAGCCTACTCTAAAATATTTACATATATATATTTTTTTTAATTCGGATACATTTCAAATGTGAATTATTAAAAAAAATATGCTGGCACCACCCATTGTCACTGGCCGACAAAATCTCAGCACTGTGTCACCCATTTAACATGTTATTTTATATGCCCTGTGTTGGAATGTAAAATAAAATAAGGCCTAAATAAAAGCTTGCTTCAGCCTGAAACTTAAGTGTGTTGGTTAGGTAAAATTTTAAAATTTAACAAATTTTACCTTCAAATTAATTCATAGAAAACATCTTTTTAACAGGCCTTCTGGAGAGTGGTGAAAAAACAGTAACTTATTTACTCTTTGCATGCATCTTTACTAATCAAATTCATTCAATACTTACCTACTAGAAATAATTATTTCAATAAGTCTTGTTAAGTTAGTTATTTTTTTCTGTATACAAATGTTACAGCTTTATTTGTTTTAATCTACTTATGGATTGTAGGCTACTGTAACTTAAAATTGACTAAAATACAGCCACAATTTTAACTAGAAATGTTGGCATTCATTCTTATAATCCCACCAAGATGCCTTAACCTATTAAGGTTAACTTAGACTATCTGGGTGAGGTTTTAATTACCTTAATTACCACTGCGTTGCCGATGACAGATGATTAGGATAGGGGTCCTCCAAACAATTGACCTTTAATGAACGACAAGATATCTTATTGTAATTATGTTTATCTTAATTATGTGAGTGTGAGTCAATTAAGCAAATTTGGTTAGATATTGTATTGAATTTGGATGCAAAGAAACGTAGCCTACAATAAAGGAAATGGGATCCACTTTTACAAGTAAGTTTTAAATAATTACTTACTGTATCAAGAAATGTTGTCGCTAACTTAAGCCGGGTTTTCCTAGGCGCGGAAGCGGAGAGAGGAACGCGGAGAGTGGACTCCACTTGTCTTAGGTAATTTAATGTTACTGTTTTCCTAGAAACAGAGCGGAACACCATGTTAATCTCTTTTCCGCGTTCCTCTCTCCGCTCTCCGCTTCCGCGCCTAGGAAAACCCAGCTTTATGCCTAGACTGGTTAGGGCTTCAGATAACTTCTTACTGTTTAAAATGAGAAGTGCATTTTAATTTGAACTATTAATTAACTGAATAAAATAAATTCTTGTATTTTTATTTTGGTAATCATACCTACTAGCATGCTACTACAGTAGCCTATACTCGCACCTATACTGACAAGTAGTAGCGTCAGCTCTATTTATCAATCATAGGCCCTTCATAGCTATTATGCTATTATTTACATTTCCAGGTTTAGGTGTTGAACTACAATGTATGTGGATTTATGGAAACTAGGCCTAAAGGTTACTGTGAATTGTTTAACTATTTTTTAACTATTTCAGATTTCTATTAACTCGCCCAAAGCTGTTGAAATCCTGGGAAAAGGCTGTCAAAAGAAAAAAATCTGAAAGAAACTGTTTAGTATTGATTCTTTGCAGTAGACATTTATCTGATGATGAAGTTAAAGTTAGATAAGACTTGGAGTACTTGTCAAGCTCCTTAAAGATGACGCTGTACTCACCGATTGTGTACAGCAGTTCAGAAAAAAAAACACAGCCGTGGACAACTTTTCTATGGATAGCCTGATATTGTTGAGGTAAGATAAGTTATGCTTTTACATCTTAATTATATATTAAGTTAAGGTTTTATCATAATAACATAATGATCATAATATACCTAACCTAACTCTGCAAAGCGCTGTACAGTGACATTTCAGGGGGTTACAGAAAAACTAAGGCCTAGGTTGTTTGACAGTGACTGACTGACCATTTGAAATGTAATCGTTGCCAGTGGTCGTGCCCCCATCTGGTATTACTTCACCAGAGAAGCAGTCCATCTTTAAAATACCGGTACCTTAAAATGAAAGTCTTCTGTGCCTTAAAAAAATGTTAAGGTTGTTTTCATGTATTATAAGATCGTAGGAATAGGCCTACTTAGTTTTAGGAAAAAATAAGCTGGCATAGCAAAATTTCACAGTCACAGAAATCGGTGCTTATCAGCTACGGTAACTTAAAACTTATGATAATATTTTCGCCTTAAAACTCAAGCAGACATATAACCCTATCAGAACTACAATACTGTACTACCTACTATAATATTCAGAAATAATTAGGCTGTTGTCCTATTAAAGAATACAATTTAGCCTACAGTGTCAACATTTTCAGGTGCTAAGTGTCTTTATCGTTATTCATGCAATGTTTTAAAGTCCTCAGATTATCCTAAATTTTTCCTTCTGGATCAATATCTGCCATATGAGTCTGGTGACAACCTTACTTAACATAGGCCTAACTGCCACAGTGAGAGTAATAGTGACACTAACTTATTACTCTCACTGTGGCAGTTAATAGTGGCTGTAATTTTAATGAAATCCCTGTAAAAAAAACAATAAATTGTATTAGCTAATTTTGGTTGCACTTCCATATAAGGCCTGTGGCACAGCAACATGGAAGTATTTAGTGTAAAGTAATTTTGTTATCTAACGGAACTTTGAAACCTAACTATACCTGATTTAGTATTCTATTATTTTTACTTTAATTAGGCCTACTTTTACCTGGTGTCAGCGCAAGTGTAGCCTTGATTTTTTAATTTTTACAGCTCATTTCAGTAGAAGCGAATTATTATCTCACACTCACAGTTTTGTCTAGTTTGGTTTAATCTTGATTGGTTTTTTGATTGAAACTGTTTAAAAATCTGAATCAGTAAGGACCACCTCTTACTTTTTTAATCGAGTAATGTTTTAAAAAAAAAAAACTAAGGCCTTTTTTGTTTCAGACTCCAATTGAACCCATGGAGATTAAGACGCCAAGACAAAGCACAGGGAAAATCAAACGGAAATCAGCCAAATCCACCACAGCAAACACACTCAAATTGATAGTTCAGTTTCTCCAATGAAAAAAACTCCAAATGTAATGGCCTAAGACTTGGATAAAAGAATCACCTTGTTTTTGTGAAATGTTTAAATACACTGTATTTGGACTAATTAATTTGTTTTATTTACTAAACCTCAACTTCCTCATCAATAAAATTTCTATTGTGCCTATTGGGGTTTCTAAATTAGTTAAGTTACTCTTGCAAAATATATTTTGTTTTATTTCACAGTCATTGTTTTTTAATATTTTAATTCTTGCAATTTTGAACTTTAAGTTATTCAAAATACTTAACTGTCCTTCAGCATTGGAATTGTGCAATGTCAATGTTTCACAATAATTATAATTGCCTAATGAAGATCTCAACTTATAGCGAAGACAGTCAAACGGTAACAGTGGTAAAAAAATAACATTTTTTAGGACTCCAACATGGATTTTTACATAGCCTAACTTGAAAGAATCTAAGTTTCAGAGGTTTACTGTTTTCATGCGTCTTGTTATTAGCCTAAACTTAATATAATATAAGCTATTTTGAAATTTATTTAATTACCCTTAAAATGGTGATTCTAATCTAGTAAGGAATAATTTCTGGTATTGTGTCTTTAAAAGTATGATATAACAAATTCAAGAATTTTATAAATGTAGCCTATTAGTGAGTGAATCAGAATCATAGCCTACAGTAATAGGCCATAAATTGCATTCATGGTTCATGGTTCACCTTAAAAGGCGTTCATGGTCATGCCTTAATAAAAATAATATATTACTTTTATTTGCTTTTACATACAGTTCTGCAGTGCTAACAGATTGTTATAATCAAAATTATTTTAACTGTATTTAAAAAAAAAACTACATATCCTATTACTTTCAGGTCATTTATGATTAGTTAGAAACGTTAAAGTATGATTTTTAGCCAGGATATATACTCTCTAGTTATAAAACAAAGGAATGCTTGCCATACTAGAAGCTTGATTATAAATATGTTTAGAATTTTATTTTGGGCCCCAAGAACTGAATATGCAATGAAAACCTACTCACAGTTCAGATGTTCAAATGCAATTTATCATGTAGATATATTACATGTATCTCTGAACTGTGGCTATTTCAGGTAATTGTAAATAAAGACTAGTATTAACAGAAATGTTATCACCACAAAACGCATTTATTTAACTTTTTTCAAGTAAGAACTCGAGGGTTGAACATGCGCTATCAGCCCATTTATTAGCATGCAATGTTAAATTTCGCGCCAACTCCGGCCTCACGCAAACATGACGGGCGTATGACGCGGTGGTGGGAGAAGGCGCGCTGGTGGGTGGTGTTACGAGAGACAAGGGTTCGTGGAACGGAAACAAGGTAGGCAACCATTTATTTCACTTCACTCTCGCTCGTAACGTAACTTACGATAACAACATCGGTTCGATTCTCTACGATTACGATTTCGACTTTCAGTTGATAACAATCGAAACACAACCGAATCATACGGTTGGTCTGTTGTGAACCCAGCACTATCCTAGTTGGATAAGTTTAATGTTAATAGGTTAGGTTGTTTGTTTGAGTTCTGGTTAGTGGTTAGAGATAAACGATAAACTTATCGTATTTTCCTGTGCCAAAGATAAATAAATTATTCAGTTTGAGTTTAGGCCATTATACATTGTTGAAGTTTCAGTTTTGCTTACCTAGGTAATATGTGTAATTGGTTTTGTAAATTGTATTGTAAATTTCCTTGGTGGTTTTGTCTGATTTTGTTGTTTTCTGGCTGCGGGATTTACTATACACTATTTTACCACAATAATCCACCAAATCCTTCACCGATTGTAAACCTATGCAATGTAGATAAAAGTTTGCAAGACGAAATTGCTGGTTATATGCCAGTTGTTGAGTTAATTGTGGAGGCTACAAGTAATGAAGGGAATTTCAAAGGAAAATTGTGGAAACAGCTATCCTACTTTGTTGACAAATTTGGGAACAGAATGACTGGTACAGCTAATCTTGAAAACTCAATAAATTACATGATGAGCTTGCTTGGTTCATTTGGTTTGGACAACATACACGGTGAAAATGTGTCAGCCCCACACTGGGTGAGGTAAGCATTTCTTGTACTAGGTACAGTATCTTTTAAGTTAAATAAAGGGTACAGTTTCTTAACTGGGCTACGCTAATATTTATTGAAACTATCGATTCGATTAGTAAACCTTCATGCGATTTTTTCACCATCAGCAAGTTTGGTTGGTTAGGTTAGGTTATGATAGTTTAATTTTATAAGTTAATACAGTAAAATCCAAGGCCAAATTTATTGTTATTTTTGTAAATAATCAGGGTAAGTTACTATTCTTGGCTGCACTTTAGTTTACGTCCTAGGCTACATTTACTCACATACTGTTCTGCAGTTTAGTTAAGGTTAGGTTTAGTTTAGAACAGTTTCATTTTATAATCAGCTGGTAGTTAATGTAGGTCTAAGTTAGTTTATTGTTATTTTAGTCGTTAACGATAGCACGCCCCGTGGTCGCAAAATCGACCAAAAGTATGTATTGTGCAAACTTCTCTATTTTCACCCTACACTGTAAATAAAACATATGTGATTGGAATGTCTTCCATTTGTTTTGATTTTCTGTTTATATTTTGTTGATATTTTGTCATTGTGACGCTTGCGTCACAGCGGCGACGCATCAGATGGTAAAGATCAGCTGATCACTGGAAAACTGGGGAGGGGGTAGGAAGCGCTAGTGAAAACTTACTATCGATAGTCACACTATCGATAGTTTTCGATAGTTTTTTAAAAACTATCGATACTATCGATAGTCACTCAAATGGAATTTTAATACATATAATATTGTATATATCCTGCCTGCATGTTAAACAATGGTTTCTACCTAGTCGAAGATAAAGCATAAATCGTAAATCATAAATCATAAATCATTTATTTGGCCAGATTTACATGAATGCATTGGCTAAGTCAATATACATTTAAAAAAATACAAATTGTCTTATAAACTATAAAATAACTACTAAAACAAACAATATTTACATGTAATCAATTCATGAACCAAGTATACCATATGCCCATGACTACCCATCAGCAATAAAATCACGGACACGGTAGTAACTAGTAACACTTGGACACCAGTAATTTTCGAAGTGATTTTTTAAAAACAACAGGGTTTGACTCAATTTTTAGATGTGTTGGCAGTGCATTGAAAAGCAGTATGCCGTTATAATAAAGATGTTTTTTGAAAAAGGTGGTTGAATGTTTTGGTATCTGAAGATTAAGACTGTTTCGCAAAGAATATGGACATGATCTGGAACTTGAAAAAATGGAAATGTTCTTTTTCAGAAAAGAGAGTGTTTCAAGGATGTATATGCATGGAAAAGTTAAAATATTTGAAGACTGGAAAAAATCTTTGCATGAAGTTCGTGAGCTGATTTTAAAGATGGTTCGAATTGCTCTCTTTTGAAGTCGAAATAGAAATCTGGTCCTTCCATTCTCATATCCCCATGCCGGCACTGCGTATACTAAATGAGGGAAAATGACCCCATAATAGGCGGTCATAAGGACGTTCTGATCAGAAAAAATTGACAATTGTTTTAAAAGAAAGATGCCGGAACCAACCCTCGTACACACACTGTCGATATGGTCATAAAAACGAAGGTGTTTGTCTAATATTAAACCAAGGAACTTGACGCCTTCTGTGGACTCAATTTCCACGTTGTCTAAAAGGATAGTTGTGTGTGGATTGCCTTGGATTGAAAAACGGAGCAATTCAGTTTTGTTGGGGTTGAGATTTAATAAATTGGAGTCAAACCACTGCTTTACGTTATTTGCCTCAATAAAAGATTTTAATTCTAATTCCTCGGAAGTTGAGCCAGACAGAGCTAAAGACGTGTCATCCGCAAAAAGACAGATCTCTCCAGCCTCAACACTTGAAGGCAGTTCATTGATATAGATCAGAAACAGCACAGGTCCGAGGACAGATCCCTGGGGAACCCCACAAGTGACGGTGTCCCGAGAGGAGACAAAGGGTCGAGCACACCCAGAACTGTCAACACCTCTGACCTCAACGAATTGCTCCCTCTTTCTAAGGTATGAGGAGAACCACTCCTGTGCCAGCCCCCTAACACCAATAGATTCTAGTTTATTGATGAGCATATCGTGATTTACAGTATCAAATGCCTTGCTCAGGTCAAAGAAAAACCCTAAAGCATTTTCTCCTGAGTCAAGAGCCCGTACTACTTTTGTTATAAGTGTAAACATTGCATTGGTGGTTGATTTCCCTTTATCAGATTATTAATTTTAACAATTAATTTATGAGTGACGCCCTGGTTATGTTTTTTTCCAAAATATTACAACATTTGTATAAAATAACAATAAGTTTTTTTAAGGGTTACAACAATAAAAAAAAGAAAAATTCTCTTACTATTTTCTTTTTACTATTCACTACAAAAATATTTTTTTACTCACATTGCATAAATAATATATATATTATGACAATCTAAAGCCATAGATCAAAGGAAAATACCGTATACCGGTGTCTCCTATGTATGCTAAAACCATTGACTATATAACACTACAAAGTAGTGTATATAGTCAATGTACAAAGTAGTAGTGTTATATAGTCAATGCTAAAACCCATGAGGCAAATGTACCCATAAGTCCGGTAGTGAATTAGCAAATGCCCCCGCTTTCAAATGTTTGAGAAGGTAGCCTACTTGTCTACCAAGCTTTTCTGCAATGGATTGAAAAAATAGTCTATAATATTAACTATAGGTATGCATTAACAGACAAACAATGAAATGTAAGAGTACCAGATAATGATTTCTTTACTTAATTTAACGTAAAAAAAACTATCGATAGTCTCATCGATAGTATAATACTATCGACCCACTATCGATATTTTCAAACTATCGATACTATCGATAGTACTATCGATAGTAAGTTTTCACTAGGAAGCGCAGAGACAGAGTGGCAGTTGTCTCCTGGAGTTTGAGTGTGTAGGCGACCTGGTCAACGCCGGACATGGTCTACGAACGATAAGTTATCTTAGGTTTAGTTAATTAAATAAATATGTTCAAAATTTTTCAGGAAGGGGGGAATCAAGGGGTTTAGGGAACTAGTAACTATTTTAGCTTAGTAGGCCTATGTAAATTAAACTTTTGAGCACACTCGTACCCTTAAGGTACGAGTGGAAGTTTTACTTGTTCTTTTGGTTATTATATTTAATTAGATGCATTAGAAATATTAGATCATGAAAATGGCTGTGATATGGATAAGGTTTGGCTCAGTAATTAATTTAAGATCATTATTATTCAACTCAGAATGTCGCTAGCAACACTAGATTGATTATATTGAGCCTTAACGATCCTATGAGTCCAGTACCGTTACTATATATTGTAGTAACCCGCTTCAATAATGGTAGCAGAGCAACATAAAACCGCATCTATATCGCAGCCAGTTCAAAATTTAACAAAAAGTTCATTTTCCTTCATCAAACACGTAGGAACACGCTTTCACATCAAATGGTCGCTTTTAATAGCATGGTGTTGGGGAAGGTGGTGATGTACTTTGAACCTATAGCCTATGTACCTTGGACCTATACTCATTTTAGCACTATCTGTTAAGTAAAGGGAGAACTTGTACCATTAGTTAATGCTTTTACTACCAGAGGTCTATCCCGATGTGTTCAAGTTGGAATTGTATGTTCTGTTGACAGGAAAACTGTAACAAGTTTTTATAAGGTAATAGTAAGTATATGCAAATTTTTTATCATGTTGGATGTAATGGTTGTTTGTCTCAGCTTACAATTTGGTGCTATAAAACAACAACTCAGGTAGGGTCTACAGTTTCATATGATTCTTGTAATACTTAGCCTACTTGTAATACTTGTATTTTTAAACCGGAATAATGAGGTTTTTGTTCAAACAATTTTAGTCTGTGTTGTTGAGAATGGATTCCCTTGTTTCTAGTGTTGTATTTGTGATCTATGAAATGAGGTTGAATGTTTTGTGATTTTATGTATACTACTGCTTCGTAGATGAATATGCAAGGGACAGTCAAGAGTCCAAGCTGGATGAATGCATCTCGGCAGCTGGCATCTGGTGGCATGCCTAGGATGGTCCTTATTGTTTTTTTTTGCCAGACAAAAACTGTTTCCAAATTCTTTTTGGTGGAAAAACCCCACAAAATGATATAATATGAAATGTACTGCTCGAACAGTCCTTGATAGACGAGCCTGGACAGAGTATCGCTGCCGTATGACCTCATCCTATGTAGAATGAACAGTCCTCGAGCAAACGACCTCTCTAATCCATAAATGTGCTCGCCCCATCCGAGTCTATCATCCAGCCTCACCCCTAAGAAGTCAGCTGTTTTTGATTGTTCAATTTTATTCTCTCCTATAAATAGGTTCGGAGTCCTATTATTTTTGGAATTTTGCTTTTGTGTTGTTTGAAAACACAAATAGTTTTTTTTTTTTTTTTGGAATTTAAACTGAGTTTGTTTGCTTCAAAAAATTTAGAAAGATCTGAAATTTGTTTCATTTGCCTCGCCCTCCAGAGTCTCAACCTCCTTACCCTTCATGACTAATGATTAATGTTTTTGAAATACTCGTAAAAAAAATTTACAGAGGGTGAACATTTCTAGGATATGGTAGTTCAACTTTGACTTTACATTGCTCAGGTAATATTAAATACTTGTAATGGTGAAATTGTTTGCACCATAACTACAACTAATTTAGCTTTTTAAAGACAATAACTTAAAAAAAATACTTAAAAATAAAAGTAAATATTTTTTAGTTGCCCCACCGTGGGGGCAATTGGAACCACCCACATCTGAATTATAATACTGTATATTGCATTCAGACTATTGAGAGGAATGAGGGGCAAGTGGGTCAATAGGGAAATTTTCTGTAATTATGGGATTTTTTTAATTATAAAAATAGATATCTCTAACCGTTTTTAAGTTACAAACTTTTCCATGGGCCTTTGTGGAAATCTGTAAAAAGTGTAAATAAACGTAAAATTGCAAAATCTTATAAAAATAGGAAATTATAACAAATTGTGTTTGGTATAACTCTCTGAACACATGATTCA